TACTCATGGCCAACGGAACAGAAAGGACAAAACGATACGTACAAACAACAGAACAAATTGCACTAAGACTAATAACACGAATAAGACACCCCCAAAACCTACTGCACAACCGTTCCAACCAACTACTATACGAACGCACAAACATGACAAAAATTTCGGAAAGACTAATACACTTACAGACAAAATGGACAAACAACCCCCACAACTGGACCATACYGAATCCCCTTTGCCTCACAAGACCGACAAAACACTCCCGTTTTCGTTCCCCAACAGAACACTTACAAACGCAACTGAACTAAGGACTAAGATCTGTTTGTTTTGTAAGCCAAGAATTTTTTTTTTATTTTCTTTGTATAGCTGATTAATTTATACGAGTGTTAGGAATAGGAATTAATTTTAGAATAAGCTAGGCTAAGACACATATATACTAAACAAGGGCAGAAAGACCGATTGGGTCGATAGCCTTTTCCTGTAGGAAATAAAGATTATTTATATTATATATATAAGGTTTTTGCAGATTTTGTGACTAAAGACGCTTCACCGTTCATTTTTGGTATCGTGTAATAAACACTTAAGTGCAATAAGTCCAAAGTGATTTTTTGCGCGATAAAATTTAAGCGGCTCTTTAAAGGTAAGCGCGCATTTGTCCGCACCGGATGAGCGGAACGAATGAAAATTAATATTTGAGTTATTTTAAATGAGAAAATGCACCTACAAACGCATCAGATTATCTATACAAATATTAATTTTCATTCGGTCAGTTCGTCTGAAGCGACGAAATGCCCGCTTACCTTTAAAAGGCTAAATTCCTACTCAAATGTGTTATGTTGCATCTAATTATTTGCCGAGTTGCTTATTTCACTGCCTCTCTTTCGCTTAGCTCAGAAAATCAATTCGATGGAGTTTGGTTTAAAAATTTTGAATTTTCTTCTAGGGATGTGCTATTATCACTTGTCGGGGAGTTTGTTTTGAAAGTTAACGAACGAATTGCAGAAATACTGCGAAAAGAAGGCGATGGAAAGGTCATTGAAATACTAGATTGTCGATCGCATGTGGTAAGTTGAGGTATTCTATGGAAATTTATATTTAACCTGGAGTTTTTGCATCAAAACCCTGCATAGTATAAATGCGCAATAGTGAATGTCCTGTATTTCGAATACAGGGTGATTCATTAATAATGTAAAAGTCAAAACACTACACGGGAAATGGTGGCAATTGGCCTAAGCATGCCTTATATAAAAGTTGATGTTTTGGAAGATACTAGGTGTTGTGTCGTAATTTTATTTCGTTTTTTGCAATTATTATGAAAATATGCGGGTTTTAAACCTAAAATTTCCTGACGGTGGGGCTTTTTAATTGACGAATCCGAACCGGTTGCAATTTCCGGGTCGCTCATGGAGGCGCTTCTTGCTCCCAATTTGCCAACATTTAGATTAACAACTTTTCACCCTGTACTTGCAACATAAAATCTGGTTCAAAACCTAACAGACCAATCATTTCTGCATCAACTAAGTATTCTTGTTTCATATCGAAATGTCGATCCGGTTTTGAGAAACACGCATTCAACCAACGCGATGCTTTAATAATATCGAAATTCCAACTTTCGGCTAAGGCATGCTTGGTATTTCTAGACTCAGCGCAATTAGTAATTCACAGAAATATAATACATTTTATCTCCTTTTTAAAGCTGAGAAAGTCGACTTATTAGTATTGCAAAAATTTAATGCTCAATAAAATAATCGTTACACGTCCAAATTTGCCCTAACTTTGGTACTCGATAACTTTTGGCTGCTGTGAGCGATTTGATTTCTGTTTGAAGCCTTTTCTAGTCAAACTGTTTTCTTGTTTGTGAGTGCTTTAGCAAAAATTTAGCGCTGCAGTTAAAGTTCCTACAGGGTGAAAATTAAAACAATGCACACAATTTCTGAACATTTGGCATGTTCCCAATTTTCAAAAAAAAGCTGAAAAAATTATTGTTTGGTCTTGCGGCTAAAACGTATTTCATATTGACTCGATTTTCAAAAGATCGAGCTGATTTTGAGACTGGAACTTTCATAGTCGAATTCAGGCAAAATCCGATAAACAGAGTTGCACCATGAAAGCGGATTGCCTAAAAGTAAAGTTCACTTTAATTGAAGGTCTGCCATAATCCAAGACTTCGGGGACAGTTGTGATTTGGGATTTTTATCTTCAGTCGACTATCAAATTTTATCTTATGTGAACACGACCAAAAAGTTGAATTTTTCTTCCCTTTCTCAATGGCTGTTGTGGAGGAATACAAAAAATGTTTTTTTTTGCCCAACTGAGAACACGAGGCATTTTTACAATTTTGCATGGTTTCATTTGCCACATTGTAGAAACTGCTAACTAACGCACTATTTTTTTGCAAAAACACACATTATCCGAATATGAATTGCACTGAACAACACTTCAACATTTATTTCGCTTAAATGTTTTAGAGACTGGCCGACATTGCTCATTCATTGCTCAAAGTTTCTCCATACGACCCCGAGTCTATGGCATGCAGAGGACTACAATATTACACGTCTTATGTTCTTCCTTCAACTGATTGGGGCGACGATGTTATGAGGCCCGCCTTTGTCACTCTTGTAAAACGAATGGAAAAAGTGTTTGGAAAAATCCAAAAGAAGGCATCGATTCGGGCAAGTGAACATTGAAACTATTAGCAAAATCATTTTTAATACGGAAGTCTTTGCGCTAAAAAGTTTCAGCTCCACTCCTCATGTTCTAAAATAATATAATGAGGCGACAATAAGAGACTTTTTTCCGAAAACTTGCAATATACATCAATTTATTTACTCAAAAGTTGTGAATTCCTCCATCCATTTCAGAGAAACACTGATTGGGATGCTGCTGCTGGCTTGTTGAAAGGGATCTACAACACGCTGCTTAAATACCCGTATATAATCAACTGGCATCAAATCAAGCAATTGATCAACGTTTGCCAAGTAAATCTAGCTTCAGTCGGACCGAAGGCACTTTAATATAGACTAATTGATGCGTTTTAGAGCTTAATTGTCTCAGAAGTGTGCTCAGAAGGCGTCTCCGGAGCAACGGCTGCTCTTCTGAGCCAACCGCCTCCTCCCAGCTTTTGTTCCATGGTGGTTCGACTCATCGCGTTGCAAGTGCAGGATGGTCAAGTAAGAATTTTACTTAGTCCAAAGTCCTTAATTGGCTATTAATGCATGTTTTGAAGGATTTTTGCGGTTTGGAGCATATAGTTGGAGGCACAGTGGTCTCCACTCAGGAACGAATCGAAAGCATGATTATAAACCTAATTATGCCGTTGTGCTTAAGAGTTGGAAGCGGACGGAAAGGTATTTTACTTCTAATTGTGCGCTTTCTGATCACTAATAGGGAATATGATTTCAACTTTAAGATGTGCCTCGAATTAAACCTTCTGATGTGAGTTTTGCCATCAGTTTTGTTCTTTGCGCGATATGTCCGCCCGCCCAGCAGACAAGCACCCCGAAACCTTCGTCGGACGCAAAAAGTGGAAATTCGCAGACTTTTTTCGGAACGAGAGAAACGAAAAGTCTGGAACGAATAAAGGATTCGCTCTATCAAGTGGGATTTTTGGCTCTGAAGATGATAAGTAAGTGGAGGCAACTGGGCAAGTAATGAATTCTTAACGTAGTTTCCAAATAACTCTTTCGGAATTTTTTTAAATATTCATTTACTTGTGCAAATATGCAAAACAGTACCGTGGGTTATTTTATATAATAAAACAGTTTTATTTCTCTTTTAAAGAACATTGTTGACAACATTCGAAAAAATGTTATAACAAAATGCCAAACATTAAAACTGGTAAGTTAGAATCAGTTTCCAAAGCTCCAAGACCGGTTAGTCTGCATTACCAGTGAAGATTTTATTTATTTTTTTTATAATCTTGATCAGTTTTCCATGGATGATTTCAGCTTTTTTCGACGCTCATCCCCTTAGAGTTTTTGAGATACTTTCGTGGTTTATTGTTATTTGGGCACCCGGTTGATTATTATTGGTGTCCATAGTCTGAAAATGCGATTCATACAGCACGGCCCAAAAGTATCAACAATTTGCAACATCGGCGAAAATTTGTTCTAGTCGTAATATTTAGAGTCGTAATATTAAATTTTTCAAATTTTTTTAGCGATTTGTTTCGAGGAATATTTGATAAACGACTGGATTAAAATATCGCGATTTATGCGGCTACTCGGCACGAAAAACGAAGCCAATAGATTCCTTTGGGATTTTTTGGAATTTGTGGTCACACACAGAACACCCTTGTACATCTTGATGCAACCATTCATATTTCTAAAGGTAAATGCGAATAAAACTACAACCAAATGTACCTCAAGGCTTCATTATTACTTTTCGCAGCTGGCCAATCCTCCAATATCCGAATACGAACGGAACGTGCATCAAACAATCAAAAACAAAATTCGCAGTATTGGATTACCGCTACCAATGAGCAAAGGGGCCTTGTTGATGGAGCTGGCCAATCAAATGAAACAGCTGAAGGAAGAACTTTCTGAATGTGCGTATTTATGTTGTTTTTAAAGCAAGCTTCTTAGTTCCGGGTGTATTTTTAGCCACTGAATCTGAAGACTCCAAGAAGGAAAACCCGCAAACAACAACCATTCAAATGACGAGTGAAACCACGCAACGAAGCCAACGGCAATCGCTGATTGGATTGTTGACTGGGGAGTTGCATCATCAAAAAAGTTCCACACACGAACACCTACAACAGCATTTAAAAGGTATGTCCAATAAAATACTAGCAACGTATATATGGTGGAGGTGCTGTGGAGATTTAGGGACTTCAAGGCGGTGCAAAGTGGGCGTCACTCCTCTTAAAGGCGTATTAAAACTCACAAATCAACCGGAAAGCTAGTTTAAATTTTATTGAACATTTCCAATCATTATTGCAAATTAGTTCGAGATAAATCATACAGGGTATCTGTAAAATATATGTACGAAATCCTGCCCGGAATAGGTGGTAGAATTTTGCACAGACACCCTGTATAATATGCAATGTTTATGAGGAATAATCGCATACCAGATTGATACTGTACTCTAATTTAAGCTGAATTGATACATTTACGTTATAAACTATTTGTAGAGTTTATTTAGCTCTAACAGAGGATTGATTGCACTTTTGTCTCACTCTATACCGGGTGTCCGCTTATTAACTAACGGTATGGAGCTGCTTTATATCGACAGCGGTTCAGGAAAAAATGTTAGTAAAATTGACGCAAAAATTAGCTAGGAATTTAAAAAACTCTTTAAAAAGTTGTTGATGGGGAAGCACAAAATCGTGATGTAGACGAGCGGTTAGTCCAACTTCTCTTGTTCTTTAACCTTAAGGCCTGGCATCTTATGAGAGGCTAAAAAACTGTATTTATTTTTCTTTAAACATGGAGGCCGTTTTGAATTTATTGAACTGAAAAAAGTCATTTAAAATCCTATTTTTTCAAGAAAACATTCGGACGCTCCCGTTTTTATTTTTGCCGGCAATTTTTTATTCGAAATTCAAAATAATCATCCAAGGAACAATATCAAAGTATACGCAAAACTGGGCATAAAAAGAAGGAAAAATCACGGTTTAGAATTTTGAAAAAATGGATTGACTGTATCACCTTTTCTTTGGACAAATCAGCAGTAAATAAAAGAGCGATTTATAAATATTCATATTAAGTATGTAAATCATTTTTCGATTATTCGATTGTGTTCAAGTCTCGAAGCTTTCCGTTTCCCAACTTTGGCTTTGGTCCTCATTATTTTTTACGTTTTATCCATATGATCATTCTTTAAAGTTCAATGTGTCTTTTTGAGGCATTTTCATCCATTGATATTCTTAGCTACTTCTAAACTATGCTTTTTCTAGAACCTTTTCCGATATACAGCCACTCCATACCCTTATCCGGACATTTGGTACATAAAAACCACTAAAAATGCGGTAGAAAACACATGGAATTTTCAAATTTTAAAGGCTCTTCTACAAGTACAAGTCACGCCTCGACGCCGGTGCAGCAAACAACTGCACCGCAAGAAGAAATAGGTTTAGAAACGGGGGGTTCTACCCCTAGTGCTGCCCAAGGTACCTTTTGGTGTGTAGTGTTCGTTTTAGGTCATCCATCGTTATCAGCTGTGTTAACATAATGTGTACATTCATTTAGTGACTGGCGATCATTTTGTACATATTCGCGGCACATTTTGATGTCTTTCCTGTACTCGAGTTCTAACCATATGCACTCGTTTCGTGTCTGTAAAAACATCTTATTCAATGCAACAATATGCGATGAAGTGTTCATCGAATAAACGGGCCTTCGTTTGTATAAATATAAAAGGGTTGTGCTTGAAGGCAGAGCTTTCCTTTCCGATACTGTGAAGTATGCAAAAGTGGGTAAAACGATCAAGATAGAGGAATTTTTGGCTTCACTTCAGTATCTCAGTAAACTAACGACATTTGAAAATGAGAAGTTTTAAGGGTGAACTGTGTAGCAACTTCAATGTTCAACAAAGGAAGAATGAAGTCAATTTTCTGATCTCTTCTGAGAGAGGGAAATTTGACTCAAAACTTCATTTTACTCATACTTATTATTCATCGCACTCACGTACCCGCGAGATTTGKCAAGAGAAGTTTGTTCTACTGYTGTTGCGTGATGGGATCACTCGATCGCGTTCAAGAATATCAATATTCGCTTCACGGGAGAACCACGCCCTTCTTTCTCATGTGATCGCCGTACCCAGTTGCGAGAATTGGGCTCCAGGAAGAAATGTAGAAATGTAGAAAAAATACAGTCGTCTGTTATCGATGAAATTAGAAAAATGATCGTCGTTTTGTGCAAGGGTGGCGCAAGATGATTGCAAAATTTCATGTTTTC